GTCAAGCAATACCTTCCTCCATGGACTTGGTGAAGTTACACATAAGTGATGCCAGTCCCTTCAGACACCCTGCCAGCACTGCAAATTTGGGTTCTCTCACTGTCGATGTCATCTGAAAGGAGAGTTTAACAAGGTACCATAAAAAGAGAAAAGCCCACAGATACAAGGAAGCAGAAAAGAAGCTCATAAAGTTTATCATACCTGGGTCTTAAGTTCACCCAGAAAAGCCCGAAAGAGTTTATCCGAATTGTTTATCATCTCGGTAGGATGAACTTCACCTAATACTCCTAGGAGCTCATATATTTTTTCTAAAACTGAAAAATAAATTTTAGACAAATTAAGGCCTTAAAATTAAATAAATTAAGCACAAATGCACAAATAAGAAAAGGAGAGAACTTTACTTCAAAATAATTTAACAATAAACCACACAAACTATCTAGTTTTATATACTGAATCTTTCCTCATATGTTTTATATGAATTTATTATTATAAGCTAAATTACATTTGACATGTGAGTTTTCTATTTGAAGAAATCATTTTGTATAGATTAAAATTTTTATAAGCAGATTTAACACATTATTTGTTTCCATTTTGGTTTCTTCTCAGCAAAAAGAATTCATCTGTATTAAATGGAGAGGAAATCCCAAAAAAAGAGAACTGATTCATTTTTTTGTGCAATAGAAACTAACACAATGTTGTAAAGCAACTATACTTCAATAAAAGTTAAAAAAAAAAGTTCATCTGTAAAACATAAATACCTTGGCAGAAAAAAAACAAGTTTTACACTAAAAACTTTTTAAATTTGTTAAAACATTTTAAAGTCACATTTAAATTCATCTTACCTGTATCTGGTATTTTTGCTTTCAATGCAAGTTCTCCATAGAATTTGGTAAATAACTCTCCAACTCTTAATTCATCCATGAGTCTAGAACTCCTCAAAGTCTGAAGTAACTGAAAGAACACGAGTTAGCAGAGTCTAGGAGGAAGCAATGGAAGGCTTCCATCTACTGCGCCTATTCACACACAGCCATGTTCCACAGCCATCGTCTCCAGGCACTCACGCTCGGCGTCAAGCTAGGTTATGTGGGATGAGGGGCTGAGGTGAGTGGTGGAAAAACAGGGGAGGCCAAGTGTAAAGGGATGTAGACTTAATCTCACCTTCCCAAGAAAATTATCCTATGACTAGACCCATTCCCTCAGAGGCACTTAAGGACCAACAAGACCCAAAGAAATTGTACAACAGAGATGCAAAAAAAAGACATGCATCTAAGCAAAGACTCAGGTAAGGGTGAGTCCAGCGACCACATACACACAACACACAGACCCTTCGAAGTGTGAGTGTAAGGTTTCAAGAAAACATTCAAGGACACAATGAGGTGAATCTGGGCAAGTCTCAGAAGCATTAGGTTTTCAGAGTAAGGGCTTCCCTTATAGCTCAGTTGGTAAAGAATCCGCCCGCAATGCGGGAGACCTGGGTTTGATCCCTGGGTTGGGAAGATCACCTGGAGAAGGCAAAGACTACCCACTCCAGTATTCTGGCCTGGAGAATTCCATGGACTATATAGTCTATGGGGTCTCAGAGTCGGACAGGACTGAGCGACTTTCACTTTTCACTTCTTGCCCCTCACAGCCCAAATTCTTCCTCTGCTACCCAGAGTGGTGTGAGGGCAGAACACCAATGTGCTGCTGGGTGATGGCTGGAAACAGGCACCTTCTCACACCAATGGGACTCCTCAGCATCTCTCACCCACAACTTTAATTTTCAGTTCAAATTATATGTGTACGATAAAATACATGCACTTAGAAATATTTTTTAAATTACCTTAATAAGAAGTTCTAGGGCCGGAACTCTACATTTAGCAGCTTTATCTTTTGTGTAAACACTGGTACAAGTATTCTAGGATTTAAAAGGAGACATCAAAATCATCAATAAGATCTTACTTCTTGTAACTAAGACTTAATAGCTAAATCTTCACCTGGGAGAAGAAATACCAATATTTGACATACTACACTTTAATAGCTTTCCACAAGGGCCTCAGCACGTTAAATGTTTAAAAAATTAAGACACTTAATTTCTAACACAATCAAGCAAAAATAAGTAAACTACCCAACAAGAAAGGCAGAAATAAAATTAATCTTAACCATGTTAAGTTATGATGTAAGTTACCATGTAACTTTTCATATAAGCTAAAAGGGACGCTGATATATAAAGAGGTAAGTTTTTTCCTCTTTACCTTAATATCTAGAGAATAAGGTGTGATCTTCTGGCCAATTTTTTCTAAGAAAATACATAAAAACTTCAGGGCTTCTTCTCTACAATCACGAAACTATAATAAAAGAAATAAACATTATGGAAACATGGGCTAAAAAAAGTCACCTCAACATGAAGAGACATACACTAGAAGAGAAAATGAAAACGGTCAACTTACTTCATCAATGCTGAGTGATTTTCGAACAAATACAAGCAAACCAAAATCTTTGGAAAAAACTAAGGAAGTGTGTAATGCTGGAAAAAAAAAAAAAAAAGAAAGTAAGAAATCTGCCAAGGTTCTCCATAAACACACACTTAAGGTGATGTTTGTTTCTCAATTCAGCCTCTTAAGTGACAAAACATAAGCCCAAATCTGCCTTGACAAGGAAAATGGGAAATTCTAGACAATGTTCCACAGTGATAAGGTCAGAATAATGGCCCCAGAGGCCAGAACTCTGATGCCTAGCGTCATACCTGTGAACGTGCTAACTTTACACAGCAAATGAAAACTAGGTTGCAAATGGAATTAAGGCTGCCCATCATCTGACTTTAAACTGGGTCACCAGGGCTTCCCTTGTGATTCAGCTGGTAAACAATCTGCCTGCAATGCAGGAGACCTGGGTTCCATCCTTAGGTTGGGAAGATCCCCTGGAGAAGGGAAAGGCTACCCACTCCAGTATTCTGGCCTGGAGAATTCCATGAGCCCATGGGGTCTCAAAGAGTTGGTTACAACTGAGCGACCTTCACTTCACTTCACTTCGGGGTCATCAAGGGGGCCCAATGCAGTCACAAAGGCCCTCACAAGTGGAAAGAGGAGAAGCAGATGGGAAGGCAAGCAGGACAGGTCCCAGGAGTCTTACTTGACCCTCTGCTGCTGGCTTTGAAAATGGAGGAAGCAGGGAGGGGGGCAGCGTGATCCAAGAAATGCAGGTGTCTTCTGTAAACAAGGAATGCCAGAAGAAAGAAGGATCCTCAGTGCTACAACTGCAAGGAACTGAATTCTGCTAACAACCTGAATGAAAAGGAAATTAATTCTCCCCCAGGGGCTTCAAAAAAGGAGTGGCCCTGCCTGCTGCCTCAGTTTTAGCTTCATGAGATCCCTGCTCGCTTCCAACCACAGACCAGTAACCGACAAACCTGTGCTGTTGTAAACACTAAGTCTGTGGTGTGTTTCAGGACCAACAGGAAACTAGTACACAGCCCTACAATCCCTCAAGTGAAAGGACACATCCTGGATAGGAGAGAGTGAACCTGGAACTGCTTTACAAGGTTACTAAAGGAGCAAAACTTAACTCTTAGAACAGACTGGAAAGCATTTACACAGTGATGCTGTCCTCATGAACACACCGTGGCAGTCTGTAGGTACTACACAGCAATCTCTTCAAGGCTTTATTTCTCCTCTTTATTAACAATGAGGTTTTCGGAAGAAAATCTCATTTTCAAATTAAGAGGATGCATCATGAAGTCTGCATGTTTGTGTTTTTAAAAGGGAGTGTAACCGAAGTTTTCACGCAAAGACACATTAAGAGTTAAGAGCATGACTTGCTTCTCAAAAGAAGGAACAGCAAAACTGGGGTTTGGGAAAGGTGCTGGTGGGTTGAGACGACAATGAGGTCGAAGAAGAAAACTTTCCTCTCATCGTCGCTCCCCACCGTGGTTAGCACTGATGCCAAATTCAGAGCATTTCCACCACCTCAGGCTTTGAAATACCTTTCTTCTGGCGTTAAGAAGAGGCAGCTGACAAACACTTTTACACAGATCCCAAATTCCCACGGGCCAGTTCAAGCACCACCCCGAGTGCCCACTCGGACTCGAGCGGGCTGCCGGGCACCGGCCGTCCAGAGCCCGGAGCCGTACCCACCCAAAAGCGCGGGGCCAGAGCTCAGTACGCACTCCTGCCCCAGGCCCCGCAGCAGCTGACCACTGGCCACCGCCGCGCCGCAGCGATCGGCAGAGGACAGGGACTCCTGGAGCTGTAGCAGGGAGCCCCGCACGCCGGACCCCGAATCGGCCATAACCTCCAGCCGCGAACACCACTTTCCCTGCCGGGACCGGAAGTGTCGCGGGGCGGGAAGGGGCGGGAAAGGGCCGGTTTTCTGGCGCGTGCGCACAGCTGCCTGGGCCCGGCCCTGCCCCTAGGACTAGGGGGCGAGGTGCTGGGCTGAATGGGGGCCTTAGTGGGTCGGGGAGAGGGATCCATGATCCCCGAGCACACCCACCCTGGACCCCGTAATGCTCCGGACTCGAATGCGGGCGTGGGGTCCCTGCTGGAGATCCTCGAGGAGGTGGCCCGCCCTGTAGGACAGGCGGCTTAGACATCCTAAGTTAATATACACAGAGCACAATGCATTCAAACTTCGGGAGAGTCAGGAACCCAACCGCTCGACCTCCGGAAATGGGTGCGGAGGACAGGGGGCGAGCTGGAGGTGACCAAGTGCCCGAGGCAGAAAGACAAGCTAGGGCTCGGGTCAGGGGCCACTGCTAGTCCTTGGTAACGGGGGTCTGGGTGGGGGCGGTCGTTTGGAATCCCAAGGGACCCAGGAACTAGCCCCAGCCGTGGGGGCCCGCCCCGAACGCTGCCTCCACGGATTTCCCGCGAAATCGTGTTCCCGTTGCGGACAAGACCATTCTAGAGGGGGAGCGCCGAGCCAGTTGTGCGTAGGTGTCCTGCGGGGCGCGGGCTGAGGCCGTCGAGTTCCCCCTATCGCTGCCCAGTGGTGCCTTCCGGCTGCGGGTCCGCGCGAGGACGCTGCCNGGGGGGAGTGGACGATCCGCTGGGCTCCTCCCCCCCTCCCCCCCCTCCGGCTCACCCGTGTGGATGCGATCCCCAGCGGTCCCCCTGGACCTGGACTTGAGCTCGCCGCTGACCTACGGCACCCCCAGCTCGCGGGTGGAGGGCACCCCGAGGAGCGGCGTGCGCGGCACTCCCGTGCGGCAGAGACCCGACCTGGGCTCGGCCCGGAAGGGGCTGCAGGTGGACCTGCACTCGGACGGGGTGAGTTCAGGGCCGGTCAGGGCGCGGTGGGGTGCGCGATGTGGGCGGTACCCCGAACCGGCTCCCATCGCCTTTTCCTGTGCAGCCGGCCGCAGAAGATACAGTGGCGAGCGAGCAGTCCTTGGGCCAAAAACTCGTGATTTGGGGAACAGATGTAAACGTGGCAACGTGCAAAGAAAACTTTCAGGTGAGGTATCATTCCTCCAAGCTTGGAAAATGTGGGAGCATTTTCTTGGACCTATGTCCAAGTGCCCCAGTGTTTGGGCACAGGTGCTTACATGGCTCAGAATCATAGATGTAGTTTTTAGGAAGAGAAAACATGCTTGTTTTCAAATTCTGACACCACTCCTACTATTCTTTTTGTGTAGCCCAGTTGGCTTACAATATTGTGTTAGTTTCAGGTATACAGCAAAGTGATTCAGTTACAGTGATACTTTTTTTTTCTGATTTTATTTAATTATAGGTTACTAATAAGATATTGAACATAGTTTCTTGTGCTAAATAGTAGATCCTTGTTGCTTTTCTATTTTGTATAAAATAGCTTCTGTTTGTTAACCCCCTACTGCTAATTTACCCTCCTTTCCCCTCTCCCCCTCTTTATTGGTAACCATACATTTCTGTGTGAGTCTGTTTCTGTTTTGTATGTAGACTCATTTGTGTTATTTTTTAGATTACATACATAAGTGATAGTGATACATAGTACTTGTCTTTGTCTGACTTACTTCATTAAGTATAATATTGTCTGCACCTATCTGTGTTGCCACAAGTGGCCGATATTTATTTTTTATGACTGAGTAGTAGTCCATTTTATTATAAACACATATATGGTCATTTTGTGTGTGTGTGTCTGTGCCTGGTTTTTGTTGCCACACTGGGGCTTTTCATTGCAGTGAGCAGGGGCTATGTCTAGTTGTGCTACGTGGCCTTCTCACTACTGTGGCTTCTCGTTGCAGAACATGGGCCCTAGGTTGTGTGAGCTTCAGTAGTTGTGGGGCTTAGTTGCCTCGAGGCATGTGGGCTCTTCCCAAGGGTGGATCTCATTCTCTGCATTGGCAGGTGAATTCTTAACCACTGGAACTAGGGAAGTCCCGTGACATCTTCTTAAGCCAGTTGTTTATTGATGGGCACTTGAAAAGATACATGCACCCCAGTGCCCATAATTTGAGTAGCTGCTTATTCCTAACTGCATTAAGCTTAATCTTTCTCTATGTTCAGAGATTTCTTCAGCGTTTCATTGATCCTCTGGCTAAAGAAGAAGAAAATGTTGGCATAGACATTACTGAACCTCTGTACATGCAGCGACTTGGAGAGGTAATGAAATATGCTTACCTAAAAATTCAAATTAACTGATTTAAAACAATTAGAATATGATTTGTTTGTTCTATTCTATAGATTAATGTTACTGGAGAGCCATTTTTAAATGTAAACTGTGAACACATAAAATCATTTGATACAAATCTCTACAGACAGCTCATCTGCTACCCACAGGTAAGAATTTGGCTTTGACCTTGGCAGACTACAGTAAACATCTAGAACATCTGCAGGGTTTCTGGATAGCAGTCTTCTCAGTAACAGAATATGCCTGCAGAGTGGTTGTGTCTGTGTGTGTGTGGACACTACAGGGGATGAGAGGATGGGACAAATTGAGAGCATAGTAGTGAGGAAGGTGTGTGTGTACACTTAGGGCTGATTCACTTTTTACAGTAGAAACTAACAATACTGTAAAGTAATTATACTCCAATTAGAAAAAAATAAGTGAACATATAACCATCATATGACACAGCAATTGCATATCTGGAAATTTATCCCAGAAGAACAAAAACTTATGTTCACATAAAAACCTGTACACAGATGTTCATAGCTGGAATCAGCCCCGATGTCCTTCAGGTCAGTTGTGGGCAAACAGCTGTGGTATGGACAGTCTGGAACATGCCTCAGAGGTAAAACATACTGTGACTTGGATGGATCCCACGGGAGCAATTCCAAAAGGTTACATACACATTCAAAAGGTAATGTTAATGTATGGTTCCACTTACATAACATTTGAGATGAAAGAATTTTAGAGATGGACATATGAGTAGTTCCTTGGGGTTACAGAGAAGGAATAGGGGATCACTTAGGGCTGATTCACTTTTTACAGTAGAAACTAACAATACTGTAAAGTAATTATACTCCAATTAGAAAAAAATAAGTGAACATATAACCATCATATGACACAGCAATTGCATATCTGGAAATTTATCCCAGAAGAACAAAAACTTATGTTCACATAAAAACCTGTACACAGATGTTCATAGCTGGAATCAGCCCCGATGTCCTTCAGGTCAGTTGTGGGCAAACAGCTGTGGTATGGCCAGTCTGGAACATGCCTCAGAGGTAAAACATACTATGACTTGGATGGATCCCACGGGAGCAATTCCAAAAGGTTACATACACATTCAAAAGGTAATGTTAATGTATGGTTCCACTTACATAACATTTGAGATGAAAGAATTTTAGAGATGGACATATGAGTAGTTCCTTGGGGTTACAGAGAAGGAATAGGGGAGGGGGAGCTCAGTTTGGTGACAAAGGGACAACATAGGGATCTTGGTGGCTTTGAAGGACTATTCAGTACCTTAACTATGGTGACAGATTCATGAATCTATGCAGGTGATAGAATTGATAGAACTGAATACACACATATACATACAAGAGTGAATACATGTAAAGCTGGGAAATCTGAATATAAGTGAATTGTACCAAGTTAATATCTGCTTGTGATATTAGACTTTTTGCAAAATGTTATCATTAATGGAAACTGGGCAGAGTCAGAGATCTTTATATTTCTTACACCTGCATGTGGATCTACAATTATCCCAATAAAAAAGGCAATGAGAATTTTAAAAAATTTTTTTATAAATAGAATATGCCTCAAAGAACCTTTTTGTTGTTTTTCTCTTTTTCCCTTTAGCCATGCCTCATGGCATGTGGGATCTTAGTTCTCCAACCAGGCATTGAACCCATACCTTCTGCAGTGGAAGTTGGAGTCCAAATGACTGGACTGCTAGGGAATTTCGCCACAAACTCCTTAAACCATGTTCTTTCTTTTTTAAGTTGAACACTTTTTTTTTTTACATATTAACATTGAAAATCAAGATATGTGTTACTTTGGCTAGCTTGTCATAGTTTCTTCATATATACATAAGGTAATAGTGACTCGCAATAGTGTGTTGGGTTTGATGTAAAATATCTTAAATGAAAATGGTCACACACCTGACATGTCTTAACAGGATGTGTTAACCATACTACAGTCTTCTCTGGTCTTAAGGTCAGGCTTGATCAACAAAGCATCAGTTACATTGATCCTATTAATAGCTGTAGGCTTTGGAGGCAAGTAGACTTGTTATTAAATAGTGATTTTGCTGAATTGCTGTGTAACCTTGGCTCAGTTCCTCAGCTTCTGAGCAGCCATTTCCTCATCTATAGAACGGACAGCAGGTGTTAACAAATTTGAGTAAGAATTATGATTTAACCTACCTTGCTATCATTTTGGTATGGAGGAAAAGACATGAAAGTATGGGCTTGTGTTACTAATTAAAAGCCTACAGTCATGCCAGCACAGCCTGAAGGAACTACTACTGTAGACTCACCTCTTTTAAGTCAAGTGAGAAAGTGCTGATGTGTGAGAGTCCAGTGTGCCCAAGGGTTTGTGAACTGCACGTGTGTGATTTCTAGGGTAATGCTTCTTGATTATACCATGTTCTTTTGTTTTTATGCCTTGCTAATGTCAGTTACTTTATTATATTTAATCCTAAGCTAAAAATACAAGCATAGCTTGGCATCTTATGTTTGTTTTTTAGGAAGTCATCCCAACTTTTGACATGGCCGTCAATGAGATCTTCTTTGACCGCTACCCTGACTCAATCTTAGAGCATCAGATTCAAGTGAGACCATTCAATGCCTTGAAGACTAAGAATATGAGGAACCTGAATCCAGAAGGTACTGTCTTTCCCCTAGTTTCATTGAGATACTGTTGACATATAGAAGGTATTGTTTTTAACAGCAGGAAAATACCTT